GTTTTAATGTACATAAAATAAAAAATTGGCAAGGAATGATCACATATTAAAACAAACATTAACAAAATGAAATTGATGATCAAAAATGATCTAACAGGGTAGTAATAGGTATATTAACGGCTTTTTCTGGATACATAAATCAAGTTTCAGTTTTTTATCATAATTGCTTCAGCAAACCGAAGAGGGACTCTGTTTCTTTGCCGGCTAATAATTTGAAAGACTTGAGGAATGTCAGTGGTGTGCCCGGTGTCAAGTAAATGCCGGGCTATCGTTTTCTTTAAGTTGATAAGATGTAATTGCTTAGAAACTGGCCTTATAAAAGCGAATGCGTCTTAGTAGTCATGTCTTCATTATGATAACATTTCACTAGTGATGAACACAGTCCGTCCTGCTTCTCGCCCTTCCATTCTTCTTTTTCTATTTCGGCACCCTCATGGTATACCACCGAAAGCATATGTGGGACATACGACTTCGTCCTATGTGATCACTAATACCTTCGGAGTGTATCTGAGTTTACTATGAAGAGGCAAAAAATAATACGTTAAATTTGACGTGTTCGACCGACTCCACAGGACTATAATTCCATCGATTTTCGACTACTGATCGCTTGTCGCAAGGCAACCTCCACAAAGCGCGCGAACTGTGATACTGGACATTAAAATCCTCTTAAAATTAATATCTGAATATATGAGATTTATCCTTTGTTTATATAACTGATGTGCCCCATAACATATCAACCTAACCGAGTAAATTACTGAAGCAAAGCCTGGAACATTTGTAACAGTGTGGTCTTACCTGGGCATTGGTACGCCTCATATAACATATTGTTATTTGAGAATATAATATTATTATTACTATAGGGATTTTTTCAAAGTGTTCTTTATACCTGTCCCGCTGTTCATGAATCAAAGTAATCGTTTCGCCTTCTTTGTTCTTGACTGGTAACCCTGGTGTACTATAGTTCCCTGCTAATTTCTTCGTTGTGTCGCACAGTTGTCTCGTACTTCCTTCTGTTACATCATTTTCACTGTAACTACTGCGTCCACCACGTATTTATTGTCAGTTCTAATGCTTCTCTCCGCTTGATTGTTGGCTTCTGTGAATTCGGCATGTGCCCTGGCCTTCTCTGCTCTTACTTGACTGTTGTTAACTGATGCATTCGTGTTCTTCCTTCCTTGAATTCTGACCAGGTGCATAAGAGTGGATAACATTCATGGTGATTCCTTCTCTTCTTGTATTGAAAGATAATTTATTGATTCTGAATTTAAGATCCATTTCGAATGGTTTGTGTGTGAAAATCCCTTCATGTATACACTCGCAGTTTGTTCCTATTGATTTCTTTAGTTGTACATTTTGTTAGTCTTTCTGATTCCATCTGAGTTGGTAATATTTGTATTTTATTATAGTTTTTATTTTTCTTACACCTTCACTAATATTCCATGTTTCTTCCTGAACTGCATTTATGTTGTTTTACTTGATATTTAGTCTTGGTGGCATCCACATTGGTTTGTTTCTCCTTTTGATTGTGCTGTTTGTATTGACTGGAACTGCGCATTTTTGATTGTGAATTGAAGCACTCTTCCAGAATTGAAAACACGTTGTGTTATAAAGCAGCCAAATATAATCTTTTGAACGAACCTGTGCGTGGTCTATCCAGACAGGATAGAATAACATTTATTTGTTGTGATTGATTTGATTAACTGAATAATTATTGGTTGAATATCTGGGTGGTCATATTTGTTTAGGTAACAATGTATATTTAAATTTATGATGAATTTTAGAACCGTCATTTTACCCGATCCCTTTGTTTCTGTTTCAACCGGGTAAGGGCGCGTATCTAACCCAACTAGGCAGCTATTCTTCGGTCCAAACCTTAGTTTGGATCTAACACTGAATACATAATATTCCCATCCTATAAGTGTCTTTCACCCCTCTCTGGTTAGCATCAGCGCAGCTCCCAGTGCATTCGAAGCATTTCTTTCTTCATGATTAGAATACGACAGAATCTCTCCAGAATCTAACTTTTCCCATGTCGAGTCCAATGTTTTTCACTTATTCCGAGCACCACCAAGTTGCATCTCGTCATTTCTGTGGCCATTTGATTAGTCCTCCCGGTCTCTAACATTGTCCGAACACGCCATATCCCAATATTAATTGTTGCACTGGTCGTTAGAAGAAGCATTGGCCTAGTAGCCTCTGAAGCATGTTGGCTTTCACCATAATTCATAAGTCTCCGGAATGAAGATCATCCAGTCCCCAGGACGAGGTTTAAGTGGTTTAAGTTGCTTATTCTGGTTAGTGTATTTTTATCAAGGTTGTTCTCTACGGTTGCTGACCTCATGCCCATCCTTCATCCTTTTCTCAGGCTTAGGACCTACAGTAACCGTAAAACAGTTACAGGGGAAGTTACCATCCATTTCTGTCAATAATCTGATTGTTCGTGACAAATGTATATGCTAGCGAATTCCTTAAGACATATAATTACGCCGAAGTTAGGGATTGCTGTTTATGTCAAGTACGTAGCTATACCATTGTGTGTGAACATCATACTTATTAATTACCATGAACGCCTGAAATTATCACAAGCCACTGGCCAGTGTATAACCGAATGCATGTGGGTCGATTGGAGATGTTTATCTGTACCAGTAAGCAACTATCCACTCTTAGATCTCGATCTGATACACCCTCATGTCGACCGCTGTATAACAACAAGTCCCTTTGAAAATAGACGACTCAGTTATCTAGACCAACAGAATTAAAGACTCTGAATATATTAAGCTGCCAGAAACAGCCAAAATAGTCGGGTAGGGATTAGTTTACCTGAAAATTTTCTCAATTAATATTCCAGTCACTTCCCCGCTGATAATCGGGATCGTTGCTATCCCGAGGTAAGTGAGATCGGTGGACATCAAGCAACTTTATGTATTCACGGGGTTGGCAAGTTACCAAAAATTTATTCGTAAATGTCTCACTAACTTTGTGGTTGCGTAACAAATCATCATAGTGGACAACACCTCTAGGTTTTTCCCCAAAAATATCAGAAAACAACATTGGACACGGGGGCACCTATACACCACCATTTTGATGGGTCTATCGATACTACGTTAGACGCATCAGATACCATCATATGTAGAACATTTGAACATTAGTTAGGTACATAGTATCAGCTTATTACACATTTTCAGAATGTCTGAAGGTTTCCAAATTAGGGTGTAACAAATACTATGGGGAATGCCTGGCCGTATATCGGATTGTACAAGATTACTGTCACTACAGGACAGAAATGTCCACTATGTTAATGTTGCCTGAAAAATACTCTTTTAAGTGGTTGCTTTAGTCAGACTACATGCCTCAGCTTACTTCCATTACACGCCATGCTTCTGATAAATACCATTTGTCCACAGACAGGACGTCTGGAATATGTTCCCTGAACGGTTTACAAGGGTTCAGCTTATTGTGTTCGATTGATTTTAAGATGAAGACAATGACGTCACTTGTAAATTGTTAGTAATGATCACTGAACTTGATCACATTGAGGTTACTGAGACCTCTAAATTTCGTTGTTTACTTCACGTGTCGCTCTTAGACAACACTGAGGAGCAGAAATTATGTGACACTTATTTTGTCTTAGTGTGTAATTACTCAATATTGGTCGACCACAAACAACCAGGGAATAGAAACCTGGTTTAATGGTTAAGCGCTCGTATAGTGATCTGATTGTTCCTGGTGTACCGCAGATGCGAACAGTAGAGAAACTCTATATTAGGACAAATCGGATGCCCAATGCTTTCAGTTAACGTTTAATTAAATAGGTTCATGAACAGAACTGTGATATCAACTTTGAAATAAAAACTGATTGAAACTGCCATATAAGTCGCCCGTAAGTAGTGACTATGTAATCTATTCAAAACAGTGACGATGTCAAAACGTTTCACAACCAGCATTGTACAGGTGTTCGGGCTACCGTCAAACGCACCACACGGTGACATAGCAGACCAGGATCAAATAAAGATGTCAGTTGGTGAGTGTGCTTTAGTGCAGTTTAGGACAATTAATTATAACAAGTCTCTATGGTCCATTTATGACTCCTGACCAGTTGTGAACCAGTTCGTATCAATCTAGCACTGCACCCGTTAACACAAGGAGGATTTGCCTACCATTTGCCACGTGTATTTCACTCGGGATGGTGTTTGGAATCCGTGCCTATCAAGAATGACAGCTGAGACTGTTCCATGAACTTTCACCAAGAGATGGAGATCAATTATTCTGATTAATTACTGAAGGAAGTTTAAGTTTGGATCATTTCCTTCTCTGACTGATTTATTAGTAGTGATGTTGCAGTGAGACTGTACAGGGTTTTTGTTAATATTAGGAAGTCAATATTTCGGATATGAATTCACCACAGTAAACTGACTCGTTTTCGATAGTCGTATTAAAGCTTCATAATGCAAATATTGCTGTTGACAAATAAAATACAGTCCAAATCATTTATGACAAGACACTTAGACTCGAAGAATTTGTGATTAGTACCTAGACTATCAGGATACATGACACAGTTATTATCTACAATCCTCACCAATATTTGATGAGCCACAATAAGCCTTGTCACTGGTACAGTGTATTATCATAGTCAGTTTAAAGTTAAGGGGACACGCAAGTACGTTATCAGTAATGCCTTTAAAAATATTCGGCATCCCTGGCTGGTGGTTAATTCACGGACAGGGTAAACTAACTAAATGAGACGGATGTTTTCAATAGCGCTCTCACATTTGCACAAGTACTAGAAAGTATCAATAAAGTGAACTTAAAGGCATGTGGTGGAAAAATAATAATTTCGAATATAGCTTTATATCTTTAATGTAACTTTTGGCGAGAGTATAAATTGTTTTAACCTTTCAATTGAGCGTCCACTCACCATCTTCTTAAACATCTGCAATGTTGGTGAAGTTTAGTGACTAGTTTGTTTGGTGTAATAAACCAGATCTTTATCATAACTCAAGATGGGTGAACTAGATCAGCTGCGTCAAGAAACAGAACAGCTGAAAAGTCAAATTAGAGTATGATAAGAAAACGTTTTCGGTTTATAATGTACTTCTACATAGGAGGCACGGCGAGTTGCAGCTGATACCACATTACAACAGGCAACGGTTAATGTGGAGTATATCAGTCGTACTCAGTTGCGCAGCAGACGGACATTACGTGGACACCTGGCAAAAATTTATGCTATGCATTGGTGCTCAGATTCCCGAAACTTAGTTTCAGCTTCTCAGGACGGGAAGTTAATAGTGTGGGATGGATATACTACCAACAAGGTGAGTTTTTAAAGTAGAGTGGGAAGTCAATTATATTATTTTCGTCTTTGGCGTGGGATTGAGTTTTCGAAGCTACACTTGCTTCGTTTTGATAATCCGCAAACTTACGGGGAGATATCCCGCCAGTCGTTTCGTAGTACAAATCATTCTCATAAACTAATGTTGCGTTTTACTACTACCACATACTTGCTCCTGATAATTTATTGTTCTCTCGACCAGGATACCAAAGTTGATTTGTAACCTTATTGTACAGTCTCTGTCTACAATTCGTATTTCATAACCATCCCCAAACACCAAAACATGTTTTTGCCACTTTGAAAATCACAGGAATGTTTAAAGTTGCATTCCAAAACAGTGTCACTGATTATCTCATATAGGAATTTATTGATGAGTTTTCAAAGTATTTTGTTAACTTTACGACAAATAAACTAGAGTTAGATAAGATAGTGCTCACAGTACAGCAAAGAGTTAACTTGTCTCAGTCACTAGACTCCTCAGGTAGATAGCTTTGACTTATTTCAGAAATGGACTTATCCTTGAGTTATTTTTGTCCAAAAAGCAGTATTATCGACCACTGGCGACAGTCATGGACTCACCGTTTTCGCTTGTAATTCTGACCTATTTAGACACTGAGTTGGCAGACTCAGTAATTTAGTTTTGATCCCAGAGTCAATGACAATAACCGGTTTCCTGAGTCCTTTTGTAGAAATTATTTACGAAAAACTAGTAGATTTGCAGGGAATTACTCATTGTGTTAGAGAAAACACTACGGATCTAAAAGCGAATCCAGTTAACTGTTCATCGCTCATGGGAAAAACAACATAACGGAAATTACGAACAAGAATAAATGTCACACATGGTGTTTTCGTTTTACTGTAGGTTGATGTCTTCACAGACATACCAATCTGCTTGACTTGTAATGATGTAATTCTGAGTGATCTTCCAATTTATTACTATTGTTAAAGATATACTTTTAGTTCCAAATTGTGTGCTCGTTATGAGTGGGTTCTCCGTTTTTAAACTTCACATTTGTCTTGGAATTAGTGGTGAAATTCCAAAATACATCGATTAACTATATAGGCTACTTGTTTTAAACCATGGTTGTTAACAGTAATAAATGCAACTATCCCATAAGTTCGTACCTTCTGTATTTTGATTCTAATGAAGTTCTTTATCATATGTTGATTATTTTAGGTTCATGCCATTCCTTTGAGAAGCAGTTGGGTCATGACATGCGCCTACTCTCCATCCGGAAATTATGTAGCCTGTGGTGGTTTAGACAATATATGCTCAATTTATAGCCTCAAGACTAGAGAAGGTAACGTTCGGGTTAGTCGAGAACTCCCTGGTCATACTGGTTATTTATCATGTTGTCGTTTCGTGAATGATAGTCAGATAGTTACAACTTCAGGCGATGGTACTTGGTAGGTTAATAATTTTCAGGTGATGTGTCATACAAATTCTCCTTGACTAAAGGTAACTTGACACTGAAATATTCTCCATTCTTTCCTTCGCACTATTTAAACTCGTGTTAATTTTATTCTTGTTACTTATTTACTTTGATAAAGTGGCTGACATTAAGTCATGAAACGTCAAAAGTACAATTTTCTACTCATTGGGATATGAAAAAAGTATTTACTGTTATTTTCAGGTTTGTTTAAATACTCGTTTCATAATAAATAAAAATAATCGGATATCCAGCTTAGTGTTTAAAGTAGTATATTGTGTGTCCGAACCCTTCTACTTCTATGATTTAGATACCTGGTAGTATCGCTAACCTTCAAACCAATATGACTCAGTCGAGTACACAAACTTGTATTGATCTGCATTACGTTGTTGTCTTTCTGATTTGAGACCACTTCTCCCCTACTGTTGCTACTACCTTGACGTGGTGGTCGGGCTTGCCTATAGTGATGACCTAATCGTGTTTTACTGGCTGAAACAATCATTCCTCAAGGTCCTACCATGCCAGACAGATCACTTGAAGAGCAGTAAGACTAAAAGCATCAAACCCAAGGTCTGAGAGCGGAGTCGTACTGCTGACTGTACAGAAGTGTGACTGCAATAAGGTTTTTCCCATCAGACAACCAGCATAACAGCGATACTGCCTTCTCACAAAGTGGGCGTGCGTGGTTATAAAAGGTCTACCCTAAAAATGCGTACCCCAAGGTTATCCATATCCTTCAGCAAAGTCTCAACAAGTACGTAGCCAACATGAAAATTACTCACAAAAAGGTCATGTGTGACGGGCCTCAATCAGTTGTCCTTTGAGCACTACAGTCACGTTCTCAGGTCACTAAGATCAATTCTAACCCGGTTTCGCTTTCAGGCACCCTTAAAAGAACGCTTCCGTGGTGTGAGCACCAAGGAAGTGATAACCGCCCTCGTACTTCTAAACAGCACTCAAAACCACTGTATTCATAATCAAACTCCCTCTTCAATTCCTGTTACTCCTCCTACATCGACTTTCAACTGTAAACTTTCTCCTCAAGTACCACCATAGCCAATGATTCTAGTACGCAAAACACTGTCTCAGGTCTATTGAAACCTCGCTCCAAGCTACACATTGGAGCCTTCAACGAACGCGCCCTATGTCAAATTGGTCAGCAGGCCTCCTTGGCTAAAACCCTAGAATCTCGTACCACTGGTGGATGCTGTGTCTCAGAAACACGCATACAGGATCCTGGTGTGGTCATCCACTTGACCTCACCTCGTCAAAACGAGGAGCTGACGAGATACACCCTCCGTGTATCTGACCACCCGACGACTAGTTCTCGTGAACTGGCGGATGCAGGCATAGCACTAAGTACGAAGGCAGAACAAGCACTACTAGAGTAGATCCCTGTTAACAGTCACCTTTGGTATTCGGTTAAACTGCTCCGTAAGAACTCGGAAGGATATGGACACACGTTGTCACCTTTTCTTCATTTCTGCCTACGCTCCCACTGACTGCAGCCTGGATGAAGTAGAAGATTACTTTTATAGAAAGCTTTCTGAACTTCTTCAAAAGCTAAACACTCAGACATATTACTCGTAGCAGGTGACTTTAATGCCCAGGTAGGTAGCTTAAACCAAACAGAAAGACATTTATGTGGGTATCTTGGTATTCCGACTCAGTGAAGAGATAATGTTGACTATCTGCTGCAGCTGTGTTCAGACAATCATTTATTTTTAACAAGCACTAATTTTAAGCATAAGGAGAGACATCGTCTTACATAGTGACCGCCTGCACCAAACCAACGATGGACTCAGAGAGACCATATTGCCATCAGTCATCATTGCAGGGGCTCGACAGAAGACTGCTACTCGTTCTGGAGTACATGTTTAGACTCTGATTATGTTCCAATACGAGCCTACATTTACTTGCTCCTCACTCGACTCAGAAAAGCCACATTGAGAAGAAATATTAGAGTTGAACTCAATGGTGATAAAGTGAAAGATAAATTCCAGACACAATTAAAGTCACACTTAGATAATTTAAAAAACAAGACTGACCCAGATGTTGCTTGGAACAGCCATGGAAACATAAGCGACATATACTAGTGGTTTAAACCAAAGGGCTACGAGAAACCAGTGGATTTCTGAGACACCTGTTGCACTGACAGACTCTCGTAAACTTATCCCATCAGGCTACGAACGCGATAAAGAGCAAAGACAAATGAAATCTGGGTTAACCAAAAGTCTACGAAACGATCATGAGCAGTGACGGGCCACAAAATCAGAAGACATGGAAAAAGCAGTGGCTGTAGGCAGCACAAGACAGCTTTTCAGTCCAATAAACGAAACTGGAATTAAAAAGTCAAATGTAAGTGAGACAGTCTGGGAAAAAGATGGTACTCTAATCTGCTCCCATTCGAACTTCGCTGTATCTTATTCTACTTTTAGAACCGGGTAACATCATTAGCTCTCACACCTAATGTAGTTCATTCACAATTACCTAGCGAATGAGTTATTTTATTTATCATTTTGAATGCAGTATGATATATTCTTTATGTAAATGTTACTACATTTCCTGTGTTGCTGTTTCTGGTACCTAAATGTGCCGAAATTTTCACTGCTAATATGTTGATGAATAGTACTTCTATGCTTATCGACAAGACGTGCTTCTAACAACTAAAATCTACTTATTAGAAGGTTCAGTCTTAAGCACTCTGAAAGTGATTCTAATATTAGAACAACATATGTAAGCGAACAATTGTTTTCAATGAGATCGTCATCAGGCTCTGCTCTAATATACATGAATATTTATACAAAAATGTTAAACCAATCAAGGCAATTCGAGTCAATAATCACAATGAAATAGAATACATCGCACATAATAGGTAAAAGGACAAGTCTGTAGTAGCAAGTCAGGTGTACTGATAGTAGTGAGAATAATAAAATACGATAACAAAAGTCTTATCAATAGTTTAACATTGGAAATAGAAGGTCAAATATGTGTAAATACCTACAATAATCATCACAAAACATTAAGACGATTAACGTAATAAGAAGTGTGTAAATAATCAGATGGTGAAGAATGCAAACGATAGAGGTAGAAAATTACAAACAAATACCTTTAGATGCGGTTTCTTTTGATTTAATTTAATTTTTGTTATCATTAGCATTATTTTCACATCCGGTATTTGTTTGTAATTTCCGGCTTCTTTCCGTTTGCATTCTTCACTATCTAATTATTTACACCCTTGTCACCGGATCTATTATCCTCACTGCTATCAGTACACCTGTCTTCCCACTATAAACTTGTCCTTTCACCTTTTATGTGATTATTGACTAAAATTGCCTTGATTGGTTTAACATTTTTGTATAAATATTCATGTATATTAGAACAGAGCCTGATGACGATCTCATTGAAAACAATTGTTCGCTTATATGTGTTCTAATTTTCACAACGGGAAGCTTCCAATATTGATTTATTTTAGCAAATCGGATATATTTTTGATTGGAGTTAGAATAATATCTGGCTTGATATTTTAAACGATTTCTGTCTTTATTTTCTTATTTTCTAAGAGTATCATTCCTGTATTACATGAACTTCAGTTATTATTTGTAAGATCTTTGGAAGCGTTTTCGTTACGTGGTTAATAGTTAGGTTAAATCTCCAGGTTATTAGAAAACTTACTACTGAGCACCTTTAAATGCATATTACAGAATGCTGAAAAATAGCTTTATTTCTTAGTGAGAACTCACATGCAGCAACTTTTGTATACTAGTTAGTGTTACTATCTGAGTATTAGTTTATTTTTTACATCAAATGGTACATATCTTTGCTTATTTGAGATTTCGCGTCGCATTTATTACAAAAACTGAATTTTGTGCTACTTTACATTTTATAATAGTATCGTTGAAGTTACATGTCAATTAAGTGTATCCAGTTACAAAATTAACGGTAGTTTTTCCTCGTTTATTTATTGCATCCTAGCGCTCTTTGGGATATCGAGACGGGTCAGCAAATCGCCTCATTTACAGGGCACACAGGCGATGTAATGAGCTTAAGTTTAGCACCTAATCTCCAAACATTTATTTCGGGTGCATGTGATGCTTCCGCAAAGGTTAGTGTTATTTATTTCCCATAACCAAAGACTTTATAAATTGACGTTAAGTGATAGTGTGACATGTTTTATACTGTTTGTCTAGTTGTTAAAACAGTTCGTTAATTTGTTAGAATTTCTCCTGCTAACCTTGTCAAAAGTAGTGAAACCTGATCTTCCAGTCTGTATTTTTTATTAATATTGTTTCTGTATGGAAGTTTCATGTTGCTTATGTATACTGGATTGTATGTACTTTATAAGCTATGCTAGATAACTGTCTATTTAGTTATTTCTAAACTGTATGTCTTGTTTTGTCCATGTTAACCCCTGCTTATTTATGAGGTAATATTTCGTCTCTCCTCAGTTAAATGGACCTGGTGTAAGTACTTCATAAATTACTATCAACAGAATTAAACTCTAGTTGGTTGTTATAGCCCACCGTGTCTACTGGGAGTCTTCTTCCAATGAGGAGTCTTTAGTTTGGCTGTAAAAGTTTAGTTTGTAGGAAGTTCGGTATAAAAACGCGCTCCGTGTATTGATTTTTGAGTCATACGAAAATGTCATACGCTTACTCTTCTTAAGACTAATCTGCATATGAACATATTTTATGTTATCATAAAAAGAGGCCTTTTGTGATATAATCTATAACTATTGTGTGCATATTTGTAATGATTTTCATGAACTAATCGTGGGCACAAAACTCATTTATGTTCAAAGTACAAAATACTTCATTTTGCTTGCGAATTCAATTAATAACTTTATTTTGTATGATAATGATAAATCACTAAATGATTGAGGTATTTATTCATTTTTACATTTAATAAACCAGATTAGTAGAGTGGACTTTTCAGTTGGTTCAAAAGTTTTCACTTCAGGCCAAATAGAAGCAATATATGTTAACAAATATTCTTGGTTTTAAGGTATATCGTATCCTGTTGATAACAATCCTCTGTGGTTAGATAGTTAACAGTATGAGCAGGTAGTTGAGTGGCTTTGTATGATAGCGGTATTAGTCGCACTAAACACGGTTAGATGCCGTAGATCTTTGGGGTTTAACTATCTTTCGGTAATATTTCTGATTGTGACAGGTTCAAATTACATGCGGAACACCATTTTCTTCAGGATTACAGGTACACTGTTCGGCGATATCTAAACAAATGAACATGGCGCGGTGGTATTTAGAACACCTATGTAGCAAATCGGTATTTTTTTCGACAAATTGAAAATAGAAGCGCTCGTTATAAATACGGTTCTACAATTAATTAGCGTTAATTATGATATTTCTTGTTGGGAAATCGCCCCAACTTGAAATAATCAAAGATGATCCAGAGATTAAAACAAGGACTGACAAACAGGCAAAGCAAAGTAAACAAGCAGGACAAGATAGGTATCATTACCAAAGTTTGACTTGATAATTTCGAGTAAATTGAGCATTGGGTAGATTGTTATAAATAAATAATATATTTGTAATATTCCAATGACAAGAGTTCCATACAGTTATAAAACAAAAGACTAAGAGATTGGAACTAAATCTCACAACTCTTTGGGTAATTTATAAGTTTAAAGTAACCAGCCATAATAAAAATCAAATACAACAAAAAGTAAAGGTTTAGAATAATGTTGATGAGTCGTGGATAAAGAACATCAGTGACAAATGAAGGAATAATTACAATAGTGCGTTGGAGGATAGAGATTGAGAGATGCAACATATGTATTAAAATGGTGAGACAAAGCATATTTAACATATGGCTCGTTAAAAGCTGCCAACTAGCTCAAGCTGTGATACCTTTTGTAGGTTATTGCATCTTTTTCTGTGAATTCAATTGATGGGTGATTGTCTTTTGAATTTTTAAGAGAACTTTTGCCATAGGAACTGTTTCTTTTCAAGGCAAAACGCTGCTTATTTTTTGCAATCAGAGTAATTTTTCGTAGACTTGTCATAAAGCAGTTAACTTTCAGAGGTAAGAGAGTCAGTTCAATTGCTTCAATAAACTTCACTATTCTATCGGTAGTAGATAATGAATACACATGTAAGGGATTTTTTAAGCATTGGTTTCGGAAGCATAGCGATTATGTGTTAGAAATAAACAACTTTTAAAAGGATAAAAATAACTTTATTACCATTCGTTACATGATATGTTCGTACTGGTATACTCGATTAACTCAATTTTAAAATCTATATACTTACAATTCTGAGAATTTCGGCAACTTGCTTGGACCATCACGCAGCATCTGGTGATATGTCTTAACATATGTCAGGAAAACTAGTGTTTGTGTTTTTTAGATAAATCATATAAGCCATCGTATATTCATAATTAAATAGATTCATTTAGTTGGTTTGATTTTTATCTATTTGTGTAAATGTCAGTCGAACTTTTCACCTTGCAAACATTTGTTTTAGTATCAGTTCGTAGAATCTGCCCAAACATTAAGTAAACAATTACTTTGTTTACTCTAATTATTTATTGAATTAAAGCTTATGGATCATACTTGCTTTTTTTCAGCTGTGGGATTTAAGAGATGGCCAATGTAAGCAAACGTTTCCAGGCCATGAATCTGATATCAATGCTATTATCTATTTTCCGAACGGGATGTCATTCGCGACAGGTAGTGATGATGCTACTTGTCGCCTATTTGACATACGTTCTGATCAAGAAGTTGGGATGTATAGCCATGATAATATTATATGTGGTATCACAAGTGTAGCTTTTAGTAAAAGTGGTCGACTTCTACTCGGTGGATACGATGATTTTAACTGCAATATTTGGGACACATTGAAACAGGAACGTTGTGGTAAGTGACTATACTTTCTTTGTTACTTTTACAAATGTTTTTTTTTAAATCTTATGGATGGATGCTTTTACTTATTTCTGGTTCAATTCGGGATTTATTTTCAGTGATAATAAAATATTGGCTACCTTCACAATGCCCTTGGGATTGCAAATATTTTGTCTATTGTATAAGAGTATCTGAATGATACGTTTACATTTAAGTGTAGTGTCTTCAGTATCTTATTATTATTTTGAAATGTTTCCTGATTATCATATTCACTTGACATCATTTGATAGAAAATAAGGTTCATGATATTTTTAACACCAAGTCTTACTAATAAGGTTCTTTTGTTAGATTGGACCATGACATTATGCATCTAATGTCTTTTCTGTGACTTCGTTCATTTAATGGGTGCTCACCCCTTACCTTTTCGAATAACTTCTAAGACCTTGGTTCTTTTAGGATATAATTAAAAGTTTTATGCATTTCTTTGTAAATCACATCACTTCTGCTGCCGTACTTTTACACAAATTGTAAGCGTGTCTAGTTGTATAATAGTGGAGATAAATGGCAAGCTACATTTTCTCGCCTTTTTAGGTCACTATACCCTTAGCTTTGTAGTTATAATCTTACTTTTATCCTTACTCGTCACGAGTTATTTCCTAGTCTTCAGTAATATCAACAATGTTGTATATTATTATTTTGAGTATTGTTGTATTTCTTTAGAGAAAGCTTTAAATTAAACATTGCATGTTTTGACTGTATCCTTAAGATGAACGTTTGTTCTTTACTACAACCATATATTTAAAGATTCGTGTTGTTTTATTACTTCTGTGTGTGAAATAAAACCCACCTTTTGACATTTTAGGCGTCCTAGCGGGTCATGATAACCGCGTTTCTTGTCTCGGTGTTTCTGAAGATGGAATGGCAGTATGTACGGGGTCGTGGGATAGCTTTCTAAGAATATGGAATTAAATAACATTTCGACGTAATAATACTGGCACAACTGTTTCAATATAAATACAACCAATTGTCCACAATTTCAACACGGTATGAGTTCTTATTTATTTTCTTTGCATAAACTTTCTTCTGCTTATTATTAATGGTTTTGGGTTTATTTTCCTGGATTCATCTACCTACAGCTTTATTTTCAATATATTTCCTCAAAAAACTAGGTTAATATCATTAAAAGAATTATTTAAGCTGAACGTTGTTCTAAAACTTCCTTACTATTATAACTAGTATGAACTTAAAGCATTTCTTTGCTTCTACTTATGACCCAGCCCATTACATATTTTAATTGTATGGTTCATTCGTTTGTTCGTTGAGACTGTACTGTTTGTCGTTGTTGTTGATATTATTTTCTCTTTCACTCCGAGTTAGTGCGCCAAATACACGCTTTTGTTGCGCATATTTTTTTTATTGTTGTTTTGCAAATGATGAATGCTTTTTTATGGTCCTGCTCCCTCCTTGTAAAGTTGACTTATGCCTATTTTCCTGGTTTGTTTATTTAATTTGGCTTTTTGTATATTTATGAAACTAGTCATTTCTTATTCCCCGTTTATACATATGCATAAAATGCTCTTTGGATTATAATATGCCTTCATGTTTCAATGTTTCTTTTTATTTTAATCAGTTTATCTTAGGAATACAATTGGAATTTCTTTGAGTGTTATTTTCCAAAATTATTTGTAATTAAATAATTACTGGGTGTGTTTAGATAACATTTATTGCTTTTCATAAATTGGTATTTTAAGGTTTTGTTTTATTCAATGTGTTATTTAGTTTGTGATAACTATGAACACCGATCATATGAGACATTTTAGTTGTTTAACTAAGTCATGTCCATTGTTTTGATGTTTAAACTAAGAAACTATTAGTTTAAATCGTGGCAGCTTGTCCTATCGAACTTTCCCGCTGCAGTATGTTTATTCGGTTGAGTATTGCTAATTACTTACGAGTCATAATTGGTCCGTTACGAGGTTCAGTATAGCTCAGTCTTGTAGGCTCACAATAAAATAAGCCATCAGCAACATAGTTTTGTTACTATCATCCGACTAGTTCACGTTACATTAAGACAATTTATCTGGGTATTGATACAGCAGCGTTCACTAACACTTCTTCAAACTACTTATCTTTCATTGATTATTTAGCCATAATAAATGTATTAGTGTACGTCGGTTAGTAAGTGAGCTCAATGTTCGCATCTGAATATCATAGATTGGTTGGAAACCAATAGCATAACTACCCTGCAAACATTGAGGTTTCCGACAATGTCTATTTTTTATCGTGTTGTTTGTGTCGGTGTGTCGTTTTTGTTTTATGGAGCGACTGATTTACTCGACCTATTATTTCGTCTTGATATCTGTCAACTGAGTGGTTTCTAGATCAATAGTTCAGATTTTGTGAGAAGTCGTCTGTCAGACATGCGATTTATATTCGTCCAGGTGATTAGTTATGCAACAAACAATCCATACAATATTGCCTACATTATGGCGTTTTTTAGCGAGTTAGTTTTTTACGAGATGAGGTCTCTAACTCTTATTACCTCTACCACTACGGGATTTGAATCGACCACTGCATCTCTGTGCTAATGTGGTGTGGCAACTCGAACTGATGTACGTACGTACGAAGTTCTACGTTGTTACTGACTGACTGACTCTAACCCCATGTCCGACCCTCCTCTATCCGGGCTTGTGACCGGGGGTAGCCTCAGCGGTTCTCCAGGAGGAATTGATTACGAAAAGGCATTCGATAGCGTCGATAGTATAACACTATGGAGGCTTCGACAATACAGCGTTACTGAGAAGACAGTCAACATCATACGAAATTCTTATGATAGATTAACTTGCAAAACCTGAAACTCAAAGCAACTGTCAACCAACACCAAAGTCAGAATTTTCAATAAAAATATCGAAACAGTTCTACTGTATGGGGCGGAAACCTGGAGAACTACGAAAACCATCATCCAGAAGATACAAGTGTTTATTAACGGTTGTCTACACAAATTACTTCGGGTTTGTTGGTCAGATACTATTAGCAACAACCTACTGTGGGAGAGAACAAACCAGATCTCAGCAGAGTAAGAGATCAGGAAGAAGCGCTGGAAGTGGATAGCACACACACTGAGGAAAGCACCCAACTGAGTCTCAAGGCGAGTCCTCACATAGAATCCTGAAGGTCAAAGAAGGAGAGGAAGACCAAATAACTCATTACGCCAAGAAATAGAGACAGACATGAGAAGAATGAACAATTGGATGGAAGTAGAAATGAAGGCCTAGGACAGAGTGGGTTAGAGAATGCTGGTAGGTGGCCTATGTTCCACAGGGAGTAACAGGTGTAAGTAAGTCTTATAATATGAAGTGTGTGCTAATGGTTCTCCAATCGTTAGAAAAGTTGGTTCGGCAATGTTCGGTTACGGTGACGACTTGTTCGCTAGAGGGAACGCCATGCTCAACTTCTGCAGTCGCTAGGTAGTTTAGATCAGTCGATTCTCGATATATTGATAGCCTGTGAAATACATCTTCGAACCTCCTCGCTTTTGATTTCACTGGGTAGGAACGATTCATGATAGAAGGTGTTACTGGTTACGGTTACAAATACCTGTAGCATCTTCATACTCAATCCAGTCTAAGTATTCACCTTAAGAGAATAAAAATGAAAGTTTCTCAGTCGATCGGATACAAGAATTAGTCTATTCTCGTAGATTAGGAATGGGATTGTGAAGAACAATGTGATTTGAAGAAGGTTTTGGGTCCCGGACATCAAGAAATCTTAAATCATGCAAACTCATAACACAGGGTTTTTTTTAACAACCAACTAGTTTCGAATTCATTAACAAACAACGATAGCGTGTGGTAGTGTTACCATATATCTCAGGCTCGTTTTCCTCGAACAATTTGTAGTAATTTAAAAATTTCCGAAATATATACATCAGTTTTACTGGACACATTCTAGCTTCGAGTGTTCGGTTGATCATGAATACTAGGCCAACACTGGATGTCTTTCTTCGAATTTATTTATTTAAATACAAACGTTGGCACAAGGGGGCATCAAGTATATATGCCCCACACTTCGTCATTCGAGTTGTATGGAGGCTGACATACTGTCGGATTCCCAAACCGCAGCAGGTGGTTTTCTTACAGGGCCGCACCCAAAGTTTTTGACCTAGATGTCTAGTCCACTGGGTAATGAACCAACGTCAAGAGATGCAGTCCCATGTTAGTCGGTGACCAACGACAGGTTTGTACGTCATTTCTCTCAAGATCCTGGAGCTTATGTGCACCACTGGTTTTCAGTCGTGTTTTTCCATCTCTAAGTAGATCCTCCATATCCAACGAACACTGGATATACGCTTTTGGTCCTCTCAGTTTTGTAAACAACATACCCTCTAGTATATAGAATTTCATGACGGTGACTGTATGCGCATAGACATGTGAGAGCATTTTGAGAGGGACAGTGAACTCTCCACACCCTTGAACGTTCCAAAGCATTTAGGGACTACGCATCCTTCGCAACAACTAGCCAGCCTAGACCACACACTTACCAAGATGCCAACTATCTTCCAAATGTCTCTCAACTCCTTCATTCCTCGCTTGATTGTTTAGGATCATTCAATTATAAAGGTGTTACAGATTTTGTTTTGCTATGCAGAAGCTGACTTGGATAAGCACTGTTTGATGGACCGACGTGCACAATTCTTTGCAGTAGTGAGGGATAAACGCACATGCAGATCAAAGAGACCGGAAAAGTTAAGACCGGCAACTCCACAATATCAAATAGCAACAAAAGTGAGTAACAGAAATATTGCTACGTACAAGAGAGGTCATAGGTCATCGGATATCTGACGAAAGCCTTTTTTTTAAATACTCCTATCTAGGCTTACCCAATCGGAAAAAGCATTTCATCTCATTCCAAAACAAATCCGTTTACAAACTGGCTGCGTCAATTGGTCGGAGTCCTGAGGTCACTAAAACCCCCAGCATCGAGGTTTGTTTTATCAAAAATGCCCCGGGTGGTACATAACAAAATTAATGATCTCTACGATGGGCTTTCCAGAGATTCATCAATGACGTATTCATATGCCTTATTTTCGTGCACGATTAAGTTGATGACTGCGTGATAGCAAGTTTGGACAGGGAAACTCATCTCCAGCATCTGGACTTTGCTTTCCAACACTTCCGAAGATATCGCATTGCTATAAACATTCAGAAACGTCAAGTCAGAACTGACTCCATTGATTTTTCGGACACACCACTAATGCGCAATGTATTTACTGTCTTCAAAGTTAAGTGGCGGCCATTCCGGATTACCCAGAACCGACCGCATTCCAGCTTTTACGCACTTTAACGGCCTGGTAAGTCTTGACGGCTGGTCAACATCTTTGAGTCTACTTCTGGTTTACAACGTATATAGGAGGCAAACAATGAAGTTAAAAATGGCATGTATAATTCCCTTGAGTATTTTTCAAGAGACTTATTCTTTTGAACGTGCCCAGCTTCAGAAACACATTGACCGTCAGCTTGAGTTCTCCTCAAAAATCCTAGATTTACGAACCAAAGAAATGGGCAGAGGTTAAAAAAATTATACTTTGTGACACATTTACAGATAGGGATCGTCCAGTCATAGCAAAACGTTACTGAAACATTGTCTTCAGCAAATTGCATAGACTTTTGTATCTACTTGTTCGGTTTTTCTCCAAAGCGGATGACTTGTCATTTGACGTTGGACATACCATATGCCCGAGGACAAATACCCCATGGGGTGTGTGCAGACAATACGCAACCATAGTGTAAGAAGACACTACTCATCTCGTTACTTTGTGGTGACATTGAACCCTAATCACACGTTCCTCAGAGCTGAACGTGCAATAACTGGGAAAATAGATATTCAACTTTTAACGCGGAGAAAAACCCAACGATGAGGAAGGCGGGAAGAAGGAATTAAATTAATTCGGATTGACCGAATGTCATGGC